ATATATATATATATATATATATATATATATATATGTATATATATCTATACACCCCCCCCATCTGTCGGTCTGTATTTACCTGTCTGTCTGCTCAGCCTCCCCCTCTCCTTATTGATGCTCTCATTCATTCCATTGGCTTAAAGCTGTCACCTTGATCTCCATGATGAACTGAGAAGCTCTCCTCACCCCCCCACTCTCTGTTCTCTGTTCTTTTTGCCCATTATTCCTCTTCTTTTCATCAGACATGGGCTCCTTCATCTGATCACTATCCTCTTAATCAAGTGCCATCAAATCACTCTTGTTATCCCGTTTCATTTCATCACATCACTCTCTCACCACCTCTACGTCTCTGTGACTCGCCCGGCTCCTCTCCTCCAGCCTGTATGGATTTGTGTCTGAGCTGGGCAGATCAAACCTGGTGGCTAACAGATCTTCAGCAGCTCTAAATGAGCGTACGCACAGGTCGACGCCTTGTCCCTCTCAATCACGGCTAACGGCCAAGCTAACTCCTGCGGTGCCTCCCCATTAGTCAGCAAAGTGAGTGATGGGCCCCACGAGCAAATCAGACACCAGAAGACCAGGCTCGGGGGCTGCATCCGTTTACCCAGCCTGTCACCCCTAAGGCTGTGCAGCAGTCGTGACAGGTGATCTCCCTTCAAGTGGGAGATCTGTCGGCAGGTCGTCACATCAGATCATCATTAAAAATGTTTTGAAATAGTTTTATTTTTGTGTTTATTTCTTGCCAATGAATATATTTGTATTGTTGGGAACAATAAATAAGTTGATTGTTTGTTTGTGAGACAGACTTTTACAAACGTATGTTTTCATATGTATTTCTGCCTACTGTTACACGAGGCCATTGATTTGTCCCGTGGCCTCAGGTGATGGAGCTGGAAGTCTGTCTCCTACGTCAGCCCTCACCTACGTCACTTCTCCAACAAGTGTTGGATGAAACGTGAACACGACCAAAGCTGTGATCAGACAGGGTTGTACAAACATTAACAACATTGATTTCTTCTTCCTCAGGGTGTGACCATGGTGTCTGCCTACATACCAGATGCAACCTGGTACGACTACGAGACGGTAGGAACATTTTCTATTTGTTACAAACTTTTTGTCCAGTGTAAATAAAACTTTATGTAAAAACGCATTCAGAAAATACATAAAACTACCAGATGAAAAGAGCCAGAAACAGGAAAATATTCATCTTAAATACAAGGTGAATATGAACATGGATGTGGAATAGACACACAAATGATCACACGAAACGTGATGTGAGTTCTGTCGTGTTCTTTTCTCCAACTCTGAGCAGAAACTCAGAGTGAACGCGTCTTTATCTGGTTTAAAGTGTAACGTTCAAAGCCGCGTCTCCTCCACACTGGTGAGGAGAAGGAGAAACGCAGATTGTTTTCTTGAAACGTTCAGCCGTGCCTCCAGTCAAGGAACTGATTACACAAACGCACAATGAGCAACAGAAATGATTACACGTGGGGGTTATCAGTGTCGCCCCACAAAACACGTACACAAAGAACATGTATCACATGAAAGCGTTCGCCTGGAGTTCCCTGTTTGAGAGTGAGAGATGAGGGTGATAAGACAACAGAGATAAAAGAGGTGTTGATTTCCTCTGGGACCTTATTTGGGCTTCACAGTGGCGACGTAAAGCGCCCACTGATCAGATGAGCGATTAGATGGGCTGTCTTGCCACTGGCCCCTGGTCCCAGTGGCCCCCAGTGACTGTCCTGGTGGGAGGACGGAAAGGCTGCTCTGTGTCCATGACTATAAATGGCCGTGACTGAGCGACGACAGTTGGGAAGCAGTTTGTGTTCCACAACAAAAACAAATGAGAACATTACACCCTGTCACAGGGACTGTGTGTAATTTGCATCATTAAAGGTTTGATTTTACAACTGAACTCCAGATTTCTTTAGACGACCTTTTAGAAAATGAGTCGACTGGTGAGTCAGCAATTGATTTAGTCGTTTCTGACCCTTAATCTAGTAAATCTAGTAAAATGTGACATAAAAAAACAGAGAAATGAATGGATATGAGGCAAAATAACTAAAGGATTAGACTAAAAGATTTACAATAATTATACAGCAAGACTTTATTCTACTTTATTTTAGGGTCTGTCTGTCTGTACGTCTGTACGTCTGTATGTCTGTCTGTACGTCTGTCTGTCTGTCTGTCTTCCGTCCATCAACAGTGTAATACTTTATTTTAGGGTCTGTCTGTCCGTCTGTCTGTCCGTCTGTACGTCTGTCTGTACGTCTGTATGTCTGTCTGTACGTCTGTCTGTACGTCTGTATGTCTGTCTGTCTGTCTACTTTGCATAAAACGTGTTTGTGGTCAGTTTTGGTCTTCAGTCTGAAACTATCGTTGACGACTTCCCTGATGTTGTTGAAGATGAGAACGGTGTTAATTGTCTGCCTCACTAAACTAATTTCCCTTTTTTTTTTTTTACTTTGCATAAAACAAGTCGTGAGACTTTTTTTTCCTTTCAAAACACCAACAATGAGAGGTTTAGTTTCAGAGGCTTTTTCTCTCTGATTCAGATGGAGAAATTGTCCCACCGTAAAAAGAGAATTGACCTGTATCTACCAGAAGACAAACTTGGTCTGCACATCAGAGGTGGAGCTGTCCTTCCTACTCAGACGCCAAACGTCACGACAACACACAGGTACACACACAAACCACACGTCCTCTAGTCCATACAAATGTTTTATTGACACAATTAGCAACTATGTGATGAATTGTTTTTTAGTCGACTTAATCCTATGGGTTTGATCGTAACTCTTGACGACAACAACCAAGCAGCTGGAGAACTATTCTGGGACGATGGAGAATCTCGAGGTATCGTTACTTTCTTTGATTTTAACTCACACCAGCGCGTGTGTGTGTGTGTTTTCACGTACATCACTTGTGATTTGGTCTGGTGAAGACATAACATCTGCTCATTTCTTGACAGACACTGTAAGAAAAGGGAACTACGTCCACTACAGCTTCTCTGTGGCCAACGTAAGTTTCCCTGCTGCATCAACACAGGTTTCTCCGTTCTGTTGTTCTGTTCTGAAGAATCACAGGAGACTTCACTGGTTGATCCATGTTCTGCTTTGTACAATCAAGAACACACACCCTCAGAACCCTGTGCCACTAGTTTAAAGCCAATGTTATTTAGTAGGAAACTAAACCAAACAACAATTAAAAAAATAAAAAATCTTCCAGAACACATTGACGTTGGATGCTGACCACGTGGGCTACAATGATTCAAACAACCTCCGGTTTGAGAGCGTCACCGTCCTCGGGCTTCGCTCTCGTCCTGTGAATGTCACAGTGACGCGTGTCATCAATGGGAGAAAAGAAGAGTGGACCACAGTGGTGCCAGAGACCGATATCCACTACAACGAAACCAAGAAGGTAAAGAAACAAGTGTTTGGAAAAATATAGGAAATGACCTTTTTGACATTTATGACGTGAAATCACTGGAACAGACACAGTGAATTCAGCTCTTTTAGCTGTGAACAGCCCAGTCTCCAGCAGGGGGCAGCTTTCTCTGACATGCTCATCAATCACACAAAACTGTTGACAATCTGTTACATTTTCATTTACCCCCCAAACAAAAGAAAATGTCCTGATGTGTTTAAAGCTGAGAATGATCTGAATTCAAAGTTTGTTTTCTGTTCAGGCGAGTTTTATGGAATACAACGTAACGATGAGAGAGAGAGAGAGAGAGAGAGAGAGCTAGTCACACATTTTCATACGAATGTATCAAATGACAGTTTTCAAGGAGGGGCATCCCCTAAGGGGAGGGGCTACTTTAGAGCAGACCCACAAGGAAAAAGACAAAAACAGATCAGAAGTAAACACTAAGAAAGAACTTAGTCTGTGAACCTGGTTCAAACCCGTCCACGTCCACAGCCACAGCCACGTCCACAGCAGACATGAGGAAGATGTGGGTGAGTGTTCAGACAAATCACCTTGGGGGGGGGTTGATGCATGTTGGATGTCTTACATTTTCCCTTGTTTCGTGGAAATTCCTGTCACAACCATTTTATTTGACCTAGTCCTTTATTTCAGTGCAGGCTGCGTCAGGAACGTCATCCATCTTTAAAACTGGAGCAAATCACGAGGCACAATATTTCTGTGGCCAAGAATCTCGTTTTTCTTCTTTACTTCTGACATCTTTATTTAAGGATTGTTTTTCAACAGAAATGAAAACTTTTTCTCTGTTCTCCTTAAGTTTAACAGGATCATTCACACGATGCTGGAGTTAAATAACTCCCTCCTGTGTGTGTGTAACAGCTCCCCTACAGGAGGGTTAAAGAATGACTCATTATCTCCAACAGGAGATGATAAAATAGTCTACACTCAGACAGGTCTACACTCAGGTCTACAATCCGGTCTACACTCAGACAGGTCTACAGACGTTGTGCTCTCCGTCTCTGATACAACCCCTTGTCTGTCCTGCTCTCTGATAGGTCCTCCTCCTCACTGGCCTCTCGATGACTCTGGGAGAGTCCTATACAGTGCACTGGGAACTGCGGGATAGTTTGAACTGCCATCCAGAGGAGGACGCCAACGAAGCCAATTGCACAGCCAGAGGCTGCATCTGGGGGGTAAAGAGTGTCATGACTATGTCCCACAGACCAACAGAATCACCCACTGGAACGGTCTGTAAAGTCACATGCTCTCTTTCTCCTTTGTGAAGCCGAGCAGCATCACAGGCGAACCGTGGTGCATCTACCCGAAAGACTATGGTTACACCGCTGAAAGAGTGGAAGAAACAGACTCAGGCATCTCGGTTAACATCACTCGCAACAAGAAATATGGGAGCAGCGGTCGGCCCGGGTCACCTGACATAGACAATCTCCGTGTCCAGATAACATACCACTCCAGTGACATGCTCCAGTTTAAGGTTCAGATGTTTCTGTCGTCTGTTTTACCTCAACACATTTAACCATGCTTTTTTTTTGTATGAAGTTTTTTTTTTCTTTTTTTTAACTCTGTCAGATCTGGGATCCAACCACTGATCGTTATGAAGTTCCTGTACCATTATCTGTTCCTGCTACACCTGAAACTGATGAGAACAAGAGGCTTTATAAAGTTCTGACTACGTCAAACCCGTTTGGAATCAAGATCATTAGGAAAAGCACAGGGACAACGATGTGGGTTCTTATCTGAATTCTCTTCTTGTTTAAATTCATATTTTGGTTTATTTTAATTTCCTAAATTATGTTCATTCGGTGTTTTAATTGTAAATTATTCTTTCTCCTCAGCTGGGACTCTTCTCTGCCAGGGTTTACTTTCTCAGACCTTTTTATTCAGATCTCAACTCGACTGTCCTCAGAGTTTGTCTACGGCTTTGGAGAGACAGAACATCCGACCTACAAGCACGACCTCACCTACCACACCTGGGGCATGTTCTCCAAGGATCAGCCGCCTGGTGTGAGTATGGATAAACAGACACACATACATACAGTTAAAATCAATCGACACCTCATTCTCAAAACATCTATAAAAGTCTTAACATCTGAAACACCTGACACAACGTACCTATACCACATCAGACTGATTTTTTACAAACCAAAATATGAGACTAACGGAGTCTGACCAGCTCAAGGGTTTCCCTCCATTACAGACCGCCTCCCCTTCTGCTTTCCTTCTCTTCATCCCGTCCAATCATCTCTCCAGAAGGAGCTCTGCTGAATGAACCGCCCACCCATTACATATGTGTAATTAGAGAAATCAGCTCCACACACATTCTTCCTGTTATTGTCCAGTTTGTGAGGACACACAACAATAAAACCATTTATTGGTATAAATAATTAAATTGATCCTATTTTTAACAGCACCGTCACCAACTACGTTCTCTCTCCTGACAACCATCACAAATACTTTCAGTAAAGTTGTTTTGTTTGTTTTAAAACCTAAGAAACTAAAAGTACCTCCTCAAACGATCACTCTGCCTCTCTGCTGCAGTACAAGATGAACTGCTACGGGGTCCATCCCTTTTATATGGGCCTGGAGAACACAGCTGATGCTCACGGTGTGCTGCTGCTGAATAGCAATGCTATGGGTGAGCGATCACACACACACACACACACACACACACACACATGCAGGTACACTAGTTTTTATGCAGTAAATACTCCTTGACCCCAAACCCTTCACCAATATCTCTGTGGCGTTAGCGTTAGCGTTAGCTCCACCTTAAGTCCATTCCACAATGACAGAACATGTGTGGCCGTAACAAGGAAACACTGAAGCCCAGTTCAGGACGTGATGAACACATGACCCTCTGATGAGGTCATAGAAGAAGAACGTCCTCTGTTGTCAGCAGAGGAGCCTGGAAACAACCAGATAAAGACTCTAAAAGATTCTGTCTCGGCACAAACCCAGAAGAACTAACACCAACTGCAGAACTGTTACTGAGAACGTTCCTAATTCTGCCTCCAGATGTGACTCTCCAGCCGATCCCAGCAGTCACCTACCGAACAGTGGGAGGCATTCTAGATTTCTTCGTTGTCATGGGACCCACACCTGAGATGGTCGTGCAGGAGTACACCGCGGTAAGTCGTCCGCTCCTGTTTTTGTTCTTGTGTTTGTGTTTGGCCCTGGGCTGCTGTTGATGGACGACGGCAGCTGGGAGTTCCTCGCTCCACTGCACGCTCTCATTTAGCTGATCCAAACACACACACACACACACACACACACTTAATAGACACTGGCCCTTTTTTTTGGAAACAAGAGTTCTTTTTCTTTCTCTATAGTGAACTTACTGATTTGTTTTTCTTCTTGACAGCTGATTGGACGACCTGTTCTACCTGCCTATTGGTCCCTTGGGTTCCAGCTCTGTCGCTATGGTTATTCCAATGACAAAGAGATAGAAGATCTTTACAACAACATGACAGATGCTGGCATACCTTACGTAAGTTGGATTTTTATCTGTTTTCTTTAATGATGTCTGTGTGACATCCCATAATAGGAACAAATATCAGATATCGAGATAAGAGCTTTCATTTCCCTAAGGGAACTCCCGAGGAAATAATAAAGTTCCTTCCATCTCAGCAAAAAGCTCAAAAACAGATAATGATATTGAATTAATTTAGAATGATGTCGGATTTGACTTGAACTGAAACCTGTGACGACAAATCTCTCAGCCAATCCCAAAAATCCAACTTTCAACCAAACTTTAACTTTTAAATAAAAAATAATACAGTCTCAATTTAAAAACAAGTCTATAAAATAAAGCCCTCTTGTGTCAGGAACAGGTACTGATCCATTCAAGCGTGTTTTGCAGTGTTTCACAACATGGTTTACTGTATGTAGACAGTAAATTCACAGTGTCACCGTAGTGTATGAGAATGAGGTTCAGAAGTGGGATTTAAACCAACCAGAAAAGCATCATTTTTGACACTTCCTGATGGAACTCCACCAGGAACAACTGTTTCCTTTCCTTTCTGACTGTCATTCAGGTTCTGCTCTGTAGTATTGACCTGAAGTTTGCCCTCTACAGGATGTGCAGTATGCAGATATCGACTACATGGAACGTCAGCTGAACTTTGTCTTGGACCCAGAGTTTAAGAACCTTCCGTCCTTGGTGGATGACATGAGAAAAGAAGGCATGAGGTTCATCTTCATTCTGGTAACGAACCTTTTCATCTTCACACACCTGCAGTCCACGCACTGACCCGCACAGAATACAATGAAACACTTACTCCGTGGCAATGGCGCCACCTGTCCTCTGCTAATGGCATGGGTTTTTTGTTCAACTCTCCTCCAGGATCCAGCCATTTCAGGCAATGAGACAAAACCTTACCCTGCGTTTGAACGAGGTGAAGAGGCAGACATCTTCATCAAGTGGCCCAAAAACATCAGCAGTGAAATAGTTTGGGGGAAGGTAAGAGGACCAGAACAGACAGATACCCCCAGACCACGGTCTGGACCACGGTCTGGACCACACAGTCAGCCGTTTCACTGGTTGTTAACTCTTTCAGGTGTGGCCAGACTTTCCTAACGTCACTGTCAACACCTCCTTGGACTGGGACACACAAGTGAAGGTACCACCTCTGTTCTGGTGTATTAGCTTCAACGTCACGTCAAACATCTAACCAGCATCTGAACTACACAAAGACATGACCCGTTGTTGCATTTCTGCGTCCACTCTGTTTCTTCCAGCTCTACAGATCTTACACGGCCTTCCCTGATTTCTTCCGTGATGAAACAGCACAGTGGTGGCTTCAGGAAATCAAGGATTTCTACGACAATATCATGGTGTTCGACGGCCTCTGGATCGTAAGTGACGAGAAGAAAAAACTCTGTAGAAATTTAAAAAATAGATTCAACATTCACACTGTGTTTCTATCAAACTCCACAGGACATGAATGAACCGGCCAGTTTTGTCCACGGCACAGTTGGAGGGAAGTGTCTTGGAGACCCAGTCCTTGAGAATCCTCCCTACATGCCATGTAAGTCAGATGAAGAAAACACACTGTGATATTTGGAGTTTTTATACATTTCTGTTTGTTTCTCTGTCTTCTCTAAAAGCCCTGGACTCAAGGGACATGGGCCTCAACCACAAGACCTTGTGTATGAACAGTGAGCAGAGACTGAGCAGTGGAAAGACAGTCAGACACTACGACGTGCACAGTCTGTACGGCTGGTCTCAGACCAAGCCTACGTACGAGTATGTGGAGCCTCCTTTATCACTGTGTGTCTGTGTGTCTGTGTGTGTGTGTGTTTGTGTGTCTGTGTGTGTGTTATGTCATTAGTTAATGAATGAACTGTAGTCTCTGTAATAATCCACTAAAACATTCAACATGAAACATTTATAAACCAGTGTGTGTGTGTGTGTGTGTGTGTGTGTATACAGACACACACACACTGGTTTATTAAAGTGTAACAAGTAAAGAAGATGTGATGCAGAGACACAGACCAGAGCAGCCACAACAGAAATGTCAGTGACTTCTTCAGGCGTCAACACAGAATCCCAGACTAACCACCAGCAGTGAAACCTCGTTGTTCTCGTTGTTGGAGACTGGTTTAGAGAGTTGTCAACACAGAGGCTTGATAACGTTTGACCGTTCTCTAGTAACTGGTAACTAAGTTACCCATGTCTTTTCTGTGCAGCGCTGTGCTGAACGTCACAGGTAAAAGAGGTATCGTGGTAACCAGGTCCACTTACCCCTCCAGTGGACGATGGTCCGGGCACTGGCTCGGAGACAACTCTGCCAACTGGGACCAGCTTTACAAATCCATCATAGGTAAAACATTTGAACCTTCATACTCCATGTATGACCAACTTAGTAGGTGGTCTGCAGCAGGGTATCATGCTGGGCTAAACCAGTGCAGGCTGGTGGGGAACGGTTCAGACTCTCACATCCACGAAGCAATGAATAAAGAATGAAGCAAAAAATAAATCAATCCTAGTTAGTTGGTAAAACCAGGTTACAAAAGTGTTTGCTACACATTCATGTTCACTTTGATGGAACAAACACTGTAGGAAAGACAACATGGTTCCATCTGGAGCAGACACCGTTGTTGAAGTGACAACTCTGAGTTTCCCTTTGTTCCACAGGGATGATGGAGTTCAGTCTGTTCGGCATCCCTTATGTGAGTACCATCGTCTGTTCTGGGATCTGACAAGGCATAATCTTATTGACGTGACCTTGTCCTTCCTAAGTAGATTACAGCTGCTACAATGATGTTACTCTGATCCAAGAACATCTTGAAATGCACAGTGTAGCTGCTCTGAAACGCCCCGGCCAAACCAGAGGACTTTAACATTTCTGTCACAAACTGGAGATGTTTTAATAATTAAATGCTGTCTGGGATTTTTCTGTCGTTTCTCCTTTGGTTACCGCAGCAACAGTTTGAGGAAATAGGTTTTTGTCTTTGTCTTTAACGACAGTCTAATGTAGATGCTAACATCTTCCTACTTCACGTGGACACTGTGTGAACGGCTGACGTCTCTCTGTCTCAGACTCACTCAGCTCCTCTGACTGTGTCTCCTACAGACCGGGGCCGACATCTGTGGCTTCTTCAAAGACGCAGAGTATGAGATGTGTCTTCGCTGGATGCAACTCGGTGCTTTCTATCCATTCTCACGAAACCACAACGGCTTAGGAAGCCGGGTAAGATTCAGTACAAATGCAGTGAAGGGGAGGAGGTGATGTGATGTGTGTGTGTGTGTGTGTGAAACAGCATGAGGTGCAGCGGGTGTAGAGATCAACCTACTGTGTCGTTCACAATCATTAACGATTCAAACTTAGACTGTGGTCACGTGAGACGTCGTATCATAAAACAACGGAAAAGTTCAAATAATCAAATCTTTTTTTGGCCTCTGAGTCGTCGTACGGTGGTGAGGCGTGAAGAGCTCTGTGTTGTGATCTGGATTATTCAGTGTCTGGGTGGATCAGCAGGTGTTAGGGTCAGGGTCAGGGTTAGAATCCCCCTAACCTGGTGCCACAGAGACGACCAAGAGGAGATTTTAGGTAAAAAGGTTCCACTGTAACAATCTGGAAGTTTCCACGACCACTGTAGGTTTTCTGCAGATGAAAGGATCTCTCACACACACACACACACACACACACAGATAGACCTGTTTGATGGTGTAGTGTTGTGGCATTCATTCTAGCAGTGACCTTTAAGAGCGTTGGAACACATCTAAGAAATCCAATAATGCCTGTCCGGGCATCGATCTCACCGGGCAGAATTTCTCCACACTGGAGTCTGCAATAGGAGACAGTACAGTGTGTGTGTGTGTGTGTGTGTGTGTGTGTGTGTGTGAGCGGTGGGATTCAGCATGAAATGGGGATATAATTGAATTCTCAAGGTGATCTGGGCGCAGTGGCACAGCGGCTAACACATCTCCACGCTGTGATTCAAATGGTTTAAAGATGACTTGGAAATGGGCTTTAAACATGCAGAAAACTGAGTGAAAAATCACACATTAGTGGTCACAGAAAAAAATGACCTTTGGCAGCAGGAGATCAAGTCAGGAGACAACGGAGAAGATGAAAAAAGAGGGGGGGGGGTCATGGACAGGACGATGTGGGGGGGTCTTTACTCTGTTTAAGACGGATGAAAGTCGTGAGGCGTTAGAGCCACTTTAAAACACGTGGTAACAGCTGATGTCACAGACGTGTGATAACGACAGTCAAGTCGTTCGATATCAGAACGATACCGATCCTGATATTGATCATCAGATCATCCCTAATTCACAACAAGAGACAGAAGAAGTCAGAGAAAAGGATGAGAGAGTAAGAAAAGTCATTTGTGAATCCATGTGGATATTCACATTTGTCTCTGTCTGCCATTACTCTGCCTCTCACTGCCATAAATGTAGCCATAAATCAGGTCAATTCATAGAGTCTCTCTCTCTCTCTCTCTCTCCAACGCACTCTGCTCACATCAGTTTATCATTTATCTCCCAGATTAAAAAGACTTTGAGGGAGAATAGTCAGCGGTGTTCCTGCCAAGCTGTGAACGATTTGGGAGATTGAATAAATGTGTTGGAATTCAAGTTTTTTTGGAGGGTTATTTTCCTCTGCTTTAAAGAACAGCTTCCTCCTCTGGATTATTCAGCTGGTGGAGAGTCCCAGAAAATATGAAATATGAGGCGATGTATTCAACTTTAAAATGACTGTCTGTCCTGTTGTGACATCACTGCCTCGGTTGACTGACAGCTGAGGGATGGAGTGTCCGTCTGTGTTTTAACCAGACCTGTGAGAGCCACATACATCACCGGTGATTGGCTTTGAGCCCGGCAACTTCTGGGAGGGGTCGAGACACTGCAGAGATTTAGTGTGTTTTCCTGTAGGATTTCATTATTTGGGTCAACAATTTAATTTACTTTATTACGTATAATAAGTAATAATTATTATAAGTAATAATTAGGAATACGTATTTTGAACCACTCCTCCAAGCCTTCAGAGAGAGACTTCAAGAACGTTCTCACATTCAAAGACTTGAGTTTTTCTCTCCGTCAGAGACAAGACCCCGTAGCCTGGAACGCTACCTTTGCTCAGGCATCACGAGACGTCCTCAACATTCGCTACACACTCCTGCCCTACCTGTACACACTGATGTACGAGGCCCACGTCACAGGAAGTACCGTCGTCAGACCTCTGCTGCACGAGTAAGTTATTTATTTATTATTTATTTATTACGACAGCATGTTAGCGTCAAAGTCCGTCTAGAATGTTATGAATTCAACACCAGTTGGAGGTTTAATACACGTGGTCGGGGGGGGGGACTCCCTTTTTCTTAAAGGTTGTATGCTAAGAAGTTGGGTAGTAAATGTTTTGAGGTTTTTAATTTACTTCAAATAAAATGACAGTAACTCTCACCGCCTCAGTGTCTGTGCTGTTAAAGACACCGTCAGTCAGGAACAAACATATTAATGCTCAGTGACATGGAGCGGGAGGGTCCGGGGGGGGGAAGGGTCCGCAGCAGTTGAACAGTTGAATTGTTTTCTCTCAGGTTCGTAACAGACAGAACTACGTGGGACGTCCACAAACAGTTCCTCTGGGGTCCAGCTTTACTCATCACCCCGGCTCTGGACAAGGTACCAACACACGTCAACCATCTGAACGTTGTTCATAGTGTCAACTAGTGGTCGTTGTGACACAGCACACCACCGCACCACTGCACCACTGCACCACACAACCAAACACTGAGCCTCCAGTGCTAACAGAGTTTGACCATTCAGGTGAACGTCTTCACTTCTTTGTTCAACGTGTGTTTGATTCCCAGGGCGTCACCAGTGTGACTGCTTATCTTCCTGATGCACGCTGGTACGATTACCACACGGTGAGTTACAACATTATCTCCGCCGTGTTCCCGTTGTTCCTTTTTAACGTAGGATGTCTGATTCTAACACGAGGTTCTGTCCAATTAAATTAAATTATTAAATATAATAATTATTTACAAAACTGAACAGAAACAGTGAAATCTGGACTTGAATTCACATTAAATGCTTCAAGGTAAAGTTTCAGACGCTGCCTCCAGTGGTAGAACTACAGTACTACCTCGAGATACGAGTATTTAATCTTTAGGATTAAAACTGATCACAGCTGTGGAAACTGTTGCCTGTTATGTTTTATTTGGTTAGTCTTTTATTAATTTAATTGTTTTTCTTATACAAGTCCAAATATGTTGGAGTGCGTGGCCAGATGGTGGCGCTGCCCACACCCTTGGACCACATTAACCTTCACATCAGAGGAGGATACGTCCTACCTTGGCAGAAACCAGAGAACAACACACACTACAGGTAGGTGTTCATGTACCTCTGTGAGCCACCTGTAGGTGTCAGCACTGAGGTCACCTCAGGATTATTAGACTATTCAGATTCTGATGTCACCTTTTTTTTTTCCTCTGTTTTTTTTAATCCAGTCGAAAGAATCCTTTAGGGCTGATCGCTGCGCTGAGTGATGATGGAACGGCCAAGGGAACGTTCTTCTGGGATGACGGAGAAGGAATAGGTAAAACATTTAACTGTGTTCTAAATCCACTGTGTCCAAACCTTCATCTAATCTGCTGACTTGTTCTCTCTGTTGTCCTCAGACACGGTGGAGAACAACAGGGTCCTGCTGACCTCCTTCACAGTTCAGTCGGTGAGTTCACTCCTTTGTCGGTCTGTCACGTCGTATGTCGCTCATGCAGTGGATGAGTGGTTTTTTGGGTTCAGACTTGTGTTTATTATTAATGAAGTCCAGCTACACAGTAATGGAAGAACTAAGAGTTTGAACAAATTCTCAGCTCAACAAAGAAACAGCTGTGCTTCAAAATGAGACACAGACAAAAGTCACTTTGTCCAAAACAAATGTTTGAGTGATCACACACTCACAGACACACACACACACTAATGACACAGGCTTTGATAAACACACACACAGACACACACACACATGCGTCATGAGCACACAGCTGTAGTACACACCCTGGCCTGTTCAGCTGCTACAGCCAAACATCTGTGTCTTTTCTCTGCCTGACATCCAGCTCGTTCCAGAGCAATTTCATACCTCCATAAAACAGACATGCCGTCTGACCGCCAAAACTCTGTCTGTGTCTGTGTCTGTGTACGTCAGTGGGTCAGTGGCAGATGATGATAAATTGGCCAATAAGAGCAGAGCTGCCTGACACTGTTTGGGACGGACATCTGAACGTTTGTCCGTGTCCATGTCTGTGTCTGTGGGTCAGGATGTATAGTGTTCTGGTTACAGGGACTACAGTAGGAATACATTACAGCTAAGAGTGAGTGTGTGTGTGTGTGTGTGTCTTTAGGGAGACGTAACGAGCTGAAAATGAGTCATTAGTTGGTCTGTGTGTAACCCTCTGCCTCCCCCGGTGGGAGACGGTGATTCTGGGTCAGTGGTTGAGGCTAACATTAAGTGGTGGCCAGTTCCTTCTCAGTTCGAGGCGTTCAAGTGTCAGAGACGGCACATTGTGACTTCCATCTAAATCGATTGAAAATGACGGTGGACAGAGCGACGACCTGAGGAGGAACCACGACGTCCACTGGCTGTAAAACTAACTAGCATGAGGAGGCGGAGCTTCACGGCTTCTTTAATGCTGCACTGACGACAACCTTTCTATTTATTTCAGAAAACGTTGACTAATAAAGTGGTCCACGATGGTCTGTCCCCCGACGACCAACTGACCCTGGGTGTGGTCAAGGTTTGGGGAGCTGGAAAGGTGCCAATAACAACAGCCAAGATCATGGTTGGTGGATCAACACGTGACCTGAAAATAAGTCACGACTCAGAGACTGAGGTGAGTAAGAATCCACGTCACACACACACACACACACGTACAGGTGTAGACATTTAAAAACTGCCACCAAAACATTTAAAAAGATTTTAAAATCGAGACCAGACTCTCAGAGATCGTCCTTCATTCAAGCCCAGCTCCACTGCAGTTCAACTCTGGACTCAGAGTCGGGTCGTGACCTGCTGAAAAAGACAAAGAAGGAACTCTTCTGCCTTAGATCTTTTTGACTTCCTTTGATGCCTTTTATCTGCTCGTTACGTCTCTGCGGTGTCAGGGTAATCGTAACGTGGCTGTGATGTTAAAGCAATAGTCGACGTCAGAAGAAGCACAAAATGTTGGACAACAAAAAAATGACTTCACTTCACAGACACTGAGATTTGAACCAACGTGTGTGTGTGTGTGTGTGTGTGTGTGTTTCCACTTCTCATTGGCCTTTGATAAAATATTCCTGTCAAGGTTGTGTTCTGTACTCAGTGCACTTATCAACAGCATGGAAACGATAGGTGCCATAAATAACTGTAGGTGAGAGAGTCCGGAAGACTGGGATTGATGCTGCTGTCGGAGGAGACAGACTGACTGACTGACGGGGGGGG